TTATGTAAAGCACTTTGAATTACCATTGTGTATGAAATTTGCTATGTAAATAAACTTGCCTTGCCTTGCCTTGATGCGTGAACTTCCCCTTTATGACACTCTGCTCTCTATGTGTATGACAATGCTTCCATTAAGTGCTGTTAGTATTGAATTAATTAATTCAGCATTTCAACATTTCCGTAAGGATGCGCTAAATTCAACAAAGCGGTTTAATATAGGATGTATTGATCTTGTGATTTAGCAAATTTTACTATATTTTTTAATTGGCCGTTAAATTTTTCTATGTGAATATTACACACACCACACTGATCCTTTAAACAATGCATTGGCGCAAAAAAAGCACACCCTTTGGACCAATTTTGCAGCGTGATTTCTCGACTGCCACAAATACTGCCTTAACAAAATACTAATTTTGTGCACTTTTTTGCTGTACCAATATTTTAAATTGGTCTTTGAAAAAAAAAAAAATCACGTTACTTTGCCAAAGCACTGACAGAATCCATTGATCTAACAGTGTTGTTGAGTGCTCCAAATGCAAACTTTGCATGCAACAATCCGGCAGCAATTGACAGCGCTCTGATCCAATGCCATACAGGCATCGTCAGATTGACAGTACTCTAGCCCAATGATGTTGGGGGATCCAGTGGGGGTGGCAATCATATTTCTGGTTGGCCATGCCACTCTTTATCACAACCCTGCTAAAATGTAGTGCCAGTATGTGCGCTCATTGGTGCCCCCTCCTGCTGGTGGCACCCTAGGTGACCCCCTAGTTTGCCTATGCCTAGAAATGGTACTGCCATTGTGAATGCTAAGCGGACCAGGACCAAACGTATCATTTTCTTTTTTTGGTCCAGACCAAACGAACCAAGAGTACCCAACTACAAGTGTGATATTATGGGGGAGGGGTCAAGCAACACAAGCAAGCAACGCGCAAACTGTGCGCAATGCCGGTGAACGTCAGTCAATTCACTATAGAGAAACTGAAAGTAAAAAAACTGACGGAGCTTTCAAACGCTGCATTAACGGTGCATATTCTCTGAGACAACGAGAGACGAAACTACTTCAACATATGCTGATAACGGTACATAACTGTCTTAAATTATTCCCTTAATATTTCTCTTGCGGCCCGTATAGTGAAAAACATGAAAAGAAATGTATTTTGCGTTAAACAGGCTGTTTTTGAAAATCGGTGCACGAAATAAAGCTTAATTGTCATTGATGACTACAGTGTTAAAGGGATAGTTCACCCAAAAATTAACATTTTATGTTTATCTGCTTACCCCCAGGGCATCCAAGATGTAGGTGACTTTGTTTCTTCAGTAGAACACAAACGAAGACTTTTAACTCAAACCGTTGCAGTCTGTCATTCTTATAATGGAAGTGAATGGGAATCACGGCTTTGAGAGTTATAAAAAACATACACAAACAAAACCAAATTAAACCCTGCGGCTCGATTGAGAGATAGGTATCGGTAATGCACTTATAAGTCTGCGGTCTGCCGTAAAGCAAGAAGAAGAAGACACGTCACACGCTGGCTGTCGAGGACGCGCTCAGGACAGTTCAGACAGTTCAGACATTGCAGTGCATCAGAGGTAAAAAAACAATATAAATACTGTTTCGTTTCATGTATTTGTGTACTTTATAAGACACAATCGCACAGTCTGTAGAAGGCTTGAGTCTGTTTAATTACTCTCATTGTGTCATGGCGACATCATGAGATCAGTAGCCTATGTTAATGTGATGTGTATTGAATGGAACTGTGACGGGGGGGTTCAGCCATGGGATTACAATGAGCCGCCTGAAAAAGCATTTCCCAACGGCTTTTTGGCACTAATAACTGTGTTGTATCCTCCTTTGTCTGAGCGTCTTGGGTCACACGATACAACCGGTCTTTTACAATTGCAAAATATGGATAGGAAAGCAGATGAGCAGTTTGGAAGAGGTTGACCGTCAATATAATGGACCTGTTCAAAAGCATGTTTTAATGACTCATCCTGAGACTGTTCCAGAGGAAAATCATCACACTCTGAGAGGATCAGCCTCTTAATTTCACTCTGTTTCCCTGGTTCAGATCTCAGTGGTCCCCGTTCAGCCTCTCCCACCTGCACGAGCGGCCCCCTTCCCTGCTTTTTTCTTTTTCCAAGAGACATCCGCACATAAACATCCCAATAATTCACTAAAAGCAGGCCAATTAGTTCCCAGAATTAGCGGATGTCGGAGATGCGGGTTAACTGCGACCTCTACACTATGATTTTGTCCCCTAAATTGAATAACAGAGGACATTTAAGGATATTTCACCACGTCCCCGTGCACACACCGTACCTGAACTAAGCGGCTTGTGTCCAATGCCTCGGGCTGAATCAGGCTTTGATGGATAGAGGTTTGGTTACATCCTGAATCCACCAGAGCCTGATAGGTACCCCCCTTAATACTTACAGGTATTTGGTACCAGCCAGCCTGACTGGGGGCAGCCTGCGGGGGATACGGGACCCGGATCATTGTCCCCATCTCCATCATGGGACACCTGTCAATAAAATGCTCCAGGTCCCCGCAACGCCAACAGGCCGACCCAGACCTCCCCAATAGTGGGCCAAATGATTGACGTGGAGAGAGCGGGAAAACGGACGCTGTATCGGTCCCAGCCGCGATCAGCCCCGCCCCCCTGGGCGGAGCTCTCGGACCAGCAGCATAATCCTGTCCGGTCCCACCCCACGCTCGGGGTTGGGCTCGTGGAGGACCTAGAGGATGGGACCTGGGGAGAGGGACAGGTCGAGAGGCAGGGAGAGAGGGAGAAAATAAAGGGGAAGAGAGAGAGACAGCTGGAAGGGATTCGCCGACCCCAGGGCACGCCACCATCTGATCCTCCGCCAATTGGATGGCTGAGTCCAGCGACGTCGGTCGGTGGCACTGGACCCACTCTGCCGTCTTCTTTGGCAGACGAGTGATGAACTGCTTCAGTACCACCCGGTCGATGATGTGCTCGACGTCGCTTCCCTCAGCCAGTAGCCATTTGCGACATGCTCTGCCGTCTTCTTCGGCAGACGAGTGATGAACTGCTCCAGTACCACACAGTCGATGATGTGCTCGACGTCGCTTCCCTCAGCCAGTAGCCATTTGCGACATGAGTCCCGGAGCTGTTGTGCCATCACGAAGGTTCGGCCGCTCTTGCCCAGGTCCAGTGAACGGAACCGCTGGCGATGTTGCTCTGGGCTTCGGCCAACCCGCTGGATGATGGCTCTTTTGAGATCATTGAAGACCAGGAGGTTCTGTACGGGCAATTGCTGAGCAGCCACCTGTGCTTCTCCAGACAACAGCGGTATCAGGCGCACCAGCCATTGCTCTCGTGGCCACCCACAGGTTTCTGCTGTTTTTTCAAAAAGATCCAGGAAGGCTTCGGGGTCATCCTGAGCTCCCATCTTGTTCAGCGGCAGGTGGGTGGGTGGGGTCTGCTGAGCTGCTGCTTCTGCCCGAACCTCCCGGTCCATCCAGCTCCGGAACCTCTCGCGGTCCTCCTGTTGCGCCTGGATAATGGCCTGGAAGCGACGCTCCTGGTCACTCCGCATATCCAGTAACGCTTGATGTAGAACCGCGATGGATGAGATGACATCCGCAAATGGCATACTTGTCGGAGTTTGCATGATGGCTCTCCTGCTTCCTTCCTGGGTTTCGGCACCAGTGTAACAAAGTCAGAGATCAGGAAGGAGATTCAATAAACAAACAGAACGTCACGCTACCAGCGCTCAATATAACACAGTGCATAAGCAATATACTTGGGGCTCTCCAGAGCAAACGGTTTCCACACACACATGCACCAGTCAGCAGTCTGTCCCTCACTGTCAGCTTCTCATTCCCCGGTCTCTTTATGCAGTCTCTCCATGCCAATTACTGAAACAAGACACAGGTGTTTGTCATTTGCACTTGACCCACTTACTCACCTTCCCAACTCTCTCCAAAGAGTATAGAAGACCAAGAAGCGAAACTCTGATGCTTTTTGGGTAACAGCCACTAGGTGGCGCTTATATTTATTGTCCAACATTCCTAATTGTTCTGTCATTAATTTAATTTCATATGTTGGTATTAATTCAGTGTTAATAATGCTAACACTTGAACTTAAAATATTTTCAACCGAAACTGACATGGCTTCTAGAGAGCAAAAGGTTTTGTGAAAAAAGGGAAGACTTTAAAAAAAAAAGTGACGTGACATATGGCCAAGTATGGTGACCCGGGGAGCAGTTGGGGGTTCGGTGCCTTGCTCAAAGGCACCTCATTCGTGGTATTGAAGGTGGGAGAGAGCGCTGTACATTCACTCCCCCCACCTACAATCCCTGCCGGTACGAGACTCAAACCCGCAACCTTTGGGTTACGAGTCCGACTCTCTAACCATGAGGTCACGACTTCCACAATTTAAAATAAAATCTGTAAAATAAACTGTTAAAAGGATTTGATAATCACTAGTCTAGTGATTGTACGATATTGTTGTCATTGTTCAAGCTGTATTTCAGCTTTAATGTGTGGTTTTTTAAACAAAGCAGTTGATATTTGCCATACCGGCAACTAGAAGCTAGTGGACTGCCGAGTCGCTTTCACCCCAAAATGGCGGAAGCGCAGGGCTGCTGCTGGGCGCCGCTGTTGCAATGGAAAGTTCTACTGAGTTTCGCCTCTTGGTCTTTTATACTCTTTGCTCTCTCTCCCGCTGCAGACCTCGCTGAACCACACCACCATCGCCACAGGAACTCACTGGGGTTTGAAGTGGGACATTTCAACTCGGATGTTCCCACTTCAAACCTTGTTTCGAATGTGGCATAAACCCTTCGGTTTCTTTAGTCTTTGTCGTTATAGGCTGTGTTTGTTTGTAGTGGTGTGTTTAACATGCTGTTTCGTTTGCTCATCCTCAGTGGTATTACCTGTGTTGTGTTGTGTTGTGTTGTTTAGTTTACTCATTTTCAGACGTAAATGTGACAATATTGTTCTGCCTTTGTATCTTATTGAGCTAAACAATGAAATTTTCAGAAAGAGAAGACTTAAGAACATACCTTAGTTTTCAAATATGTACTTCAACACTTTTTATGTTATGAAAATGTCCTACAGCATATTTTGCTCTGTAACATTCATTTTAATATTATCTATTTAAACAGGTTTGCTTGAGTTTAGCTATCAAGTATACCTAAACAGGCTATACATGTATTTATTTAACAGACAGACAAATTAAGAACATCAGAAGCAATTTGCCACAGAACCAAAAGTTTAGTAAAAGAAATGATTAGATTAGCAAGTCAACAAGCTAGAACAGAAGTGCAGACGAGATCTATAACTTATAAACTTTCTCTGAAAACCCAGTTTGTTAATGGAGATATCCAATTTGCATTAGGTAACGTGTTTCTGTCATTACAAAGAGGGACATATTTGACAAGCACTATCATTTGAGAGGCAAATGTCAGCAAATTTAAAGGTTGACGACGTTATCTACAATACATAAGATTGATCTTTTAATAATTTTAATTTAATAACAGGAATTAAGCTAAAATTAAGCTAAACTTGAAAACAAATAAAGACACATTCTGTTTTGCACATTAGCCTATCAGGGCTGCCAACTCTCACGCATTCAGCATGAGAGTCACACAATTGACACTGTTCTCACACTAGGGTGACCACCCGTCCCGCTTTGCGTTGTACCGCACAGCATTTTCACCCCTTGTCCTGCACATATTGAGTAAATGTCCCGCATTTTCATCAGTCTGTTGGTTTTTAATTGTCATATTAAGAAAACATACATGCGTTTTTTGCCTATTTAAGAAAGCTTTTTATTTACTCTTTTTGCAGCGTAGTTTCACCTATATTTAACAGCGCTTTGTCAGAAGTGGCAACCCACCTCACACAAATACAGCAGCCATTTTTTTTTTATCCAATAGTTGGAATTAAAAAAAAAAGAGGCTGTGACGTAGTGTTAATTTTGTCAGCTATTTTCAATTTTAGTCTTAGTCCCGTGTTAAAATGTCCTTGTTAGTTTTTATCTTATTTAGTCATCCTTATCCTATTTAGTTTTAGTCTAGTTTAAGTCAATGAAAACTGGACATTTTAGCAATAAGATTATTATTAATTAACCGTACAGTATTCATTTTGGCAGCCATTTTTAATTTAGTCTTAGTCCTACTCAAATGTACATTGTAGTTATCATATTTAGACAACCTTGTCCTGTTTTTGTTTAGTCAAGTTTTAAGCCAATGAAATGAATGAGCATTTTTGTCAAGTTTTAGTCAATGAAATCTTAGTCACATTTTCGTCATTCTGTATAATGGTTAAATTGATCAAAATTAATTTATTATTTCTCCAGTAAGTACAAATCAATAGAATGTGGAAACATACATGGTGTATTTTACATCATCTAGTGTACTGATTTATTATAGGCTTTTTATTATATAAATTAATACCAAAGACTTATGCAATCTCTCTGTCTACATTATGAAAACAGCTAAAACAAAACTATTATAACAGTGAAATTCCTAGTAGTTCCACTAATTCCAAATTGCAATAGCCTATTTCTTTATTAAAACAACAGCGGTTGAGTAAGTGCATTTATTCAGCGATCACAATCGCAAACAATATAGTCGAGATCTCATCAGGGGCGCAACTGCACATTTGCAGAGGGGTATGCAAGAACAGTGTCGGCGCCCCCTGTATTCTAGTAACTCGCGCAGAAAACTTTCTGCAAGTCAATGACCAAAGGTCCATTACTATAGCTTGTGCATGGAAGGATACAAACTCATTAGGAGTAAAAAAAAAAAAAAAAAAAAAAGTAACAAAGGATTGAACCCCCTTCCCCCTTTTTTAATACCATAGGGAAAAATATGAAAAGTAAAAACAAGAAAAAAATAAAAGTGTGTCACATGACATCCCCTTTAACTCCTGATGGCAGACCCCAGACAGTAGAACACATTTTTTTATTCATTTTTATTTTCAAACACATGTAATATTGCTCACTTTTTATATATATTATAATATTATTTATTTGCCTCAAAGTCATTTATATTCTTGCACATTTTTATATAGTAAAATGTATTTTAAAGAACATCTGCCATGCTAAATGGCCGATTTCTGCCAAGATTTCACCTGGTAGAAAATGATTCCCACTATGACCACTAAATGGCAGCAGAGGATCATTTATTGTCTCCTTTACCATTTCCACTCTGTAATATAGTTCTTTTCACATGTTTTGCAAATGGATTTATATTTAGACATTATAAAATTACTATTATAACATTTAAAAATCTCTTTTTTTGTCAAAGTTCAGCATTGGTTTGTATTGAAGTATGAATACAAACCAATGCTTTTTTTTTAACTCCTTGAATCTACTTGAATTACACATATGGCCTATTTTAAATTTACAACGGCAATTTTCAGTGAAAGGTGGCTAGTTGTATCTTTGTTTACAATCTTCTCAGTTTCTCTCAAATGTAAATCAAATGCCCATTCACAAACATGCTTTTTCCCCCCGAGCAATAGAGATACTCAGAAATAAACTGATATTAATCACTTTGCCCTCTTAAGGCAGTTGCAGAGCCAGGATATTTTTATAGGGGTGGCCAGGAAGGGGCCAGAAACCAGTCTGGGGTGGCACAGAAATCTTCATTATTTCAATATAGAAATGAATTTGACTATAAAGTATTGTTTTAGTGCCTAAACACAACTGAATACAATTAATTTGTACTTAATCGCAACTGAGATTTATGAATAACATCAAGTAATACTGAGTGAATGACAAATTTTGTATTATTTTTGTATTACCTAGCTCCAGGTATTTTAATGAAAGGGCTCACTATAGCTTTATTGCTCAGTAAGCTTGGTTCTGGGTCTTAACTCCTCCAAAATATTGTTCTCAATCATTGTATAGGCCCACTCATGGATGAGACATGCAGATAACTATAGTCTACCTTCACTGAATTGTATATAATCAATGAACTCTGAAAAAATTATCAGTCATTCTATTCTATCATTCTATTAGTTGTTCAAATTAATTCATTGCAGCACTTTTGTCATACCTAAATCGAGCTCTGTACAAAGGAAAATAATGTAAGAATGTAAAATGAGTTATTTTATGCATTTAAATATGGTTTCATTTTCTTTTCATTTTCGTACTTTACAAATTAACGAAAAATGTGTGCATATTTTCTAGTACATTTAACTGCACTGTGCTCACATTTGGCCTACTTGTGCATTAAATTATATATTTTGTTTAAATGACATAGCCTATCATCTTGCACCCTATTGTGATCCCGAATTGCAGAATATTTCAGTAGGCTGCATGCTTTTGAGAGACGTTCTTAAATGTAATGCACATACATGCATGCACAGTTTTGCAGCTTTAATCGCCATTTTGTTAATTTCGTGACTTAACTGACGATGTATGCTCGCAGTTTCTAGTGCGGTTTATTTTTGATTGAGTGATAGAGCGTGCGCCTCATATTTGCATACAGTCGAAGAGCGTGCGTCATGAGCAAAACACCTGACAGGACAGGAAAGATTGTTTTACTGACATATAACAATATCTCATCAGACCGCAGTTCACTGTTGTTCTGCTGAAGCTCATCTGGCACATGTAGGCTACCTTTTCCGCGCGCGTTTGACTCGCGCCTGAAGAGGGCAAGCTGAAGTGCGCGTCTGAAAAGTCTCTCGTTTGTTGAGGTCGCAAAGAGATACGGCCGTTCCACGTCTTAATAAGTTTTTAATAAATACATTTTTGAACTCATTAAAATGCTAAAAACTGTTAAATAAAAATGTTGCATTAATTATTTTTAATAACTGGGTGATTCTTAGACTATGGGCACTTTTATTTTCTTTGGTCATATTTATAAAAATACATATAATTTTGGACAAATTCCTCTTTCTTAGTCAAACTAACAATAAAACCACCGTAAAAACTTTTTACTACCTTTCTATTATGATTTTTTTCATACTTTTCAACCTCCTTATAGGTGTCAAAATCACTGTTTTCTCCTTGTCGCACACCCAGACTTTTAAACTTCAACAATGAAAATACAGTTTAAAAATATGACTTATCTGGTAACTATTAATGTACCTGAATTAAGCACTAGTACTTGTAATCTAAGTTTGTCCTCTTACAGACCTTAAAACTAGACAAATTTTTTAACTTATGAGACTGTGTTACGTGACTTTTGAACAAGTTTTTTTTATTCAACTTCACAAGGATAAAAGTGCCCCTAGTTGAAGAAACGCCCAACTACGATTTTCTCATAGATAAAAAAGTTCGTCAAGACAAACTTTAAGTTGGCTTGAGAAAGCCGGACCAGAAAGTTTGAAAAAGATTGAAAAGATTGAAAAGTTTAAGAAGTTTAAAAAGTTTTAAGTTTGATGGTTTTCAGTCTGAAATAGTTTGAAGTTTAAATTAGTTTTAAACGCTTAAAGTTTGAATGTTTTGAATGCATGTCTCAGAAATGCTAATGTTGTGGTTAATTAACTACTAATCCTTTATCATTTTATAGTCATGCATGAGTTTAATCTCATTCAGAAATTACTGATTACCTATAAAGAACTACCTCAGTCCTATATTCGCTATTAATCACTGATTAGTTAATCCTGGCTTCATATTATTTAGTAGTAGCTGAAGCCCTGTTGAAAAAACCAGCATATGCTGGTTAGGTATGTTTTGACGCTGGGATGTGTAGTACTAAATAAATCTGACAATTTAGTTGATAAACAAATTGAAAATGCACCAAATATTTTGGCAAATCGTTATTGTTCAGAAGATAGACCAGGCCTACTTTTAAGTCGGTCAACGCAAGCTAGCAAGAAAGAAAAAAAAAAATATGGCGAACATCAGACAGATATAGACTCCTTTAAAATCAACACTAAAATGTCGATGTTAAATTAAGTTGTCAAATGCTCGATCTGCCAGTATCGTTATGTAGTTAATAGACCTATGTTGTCTTGAAGACTGACGTGAATGGAGAGAAATGCGTTTAGTTTCATTTTCGTTTCGTACAAACTTTAACACACACACATACTTTTAAAGCTTTTATTACATTTTGATCGGTCTTGAAGATGAATGCCCGTCTTCACACATATTTGTTCGCATTTCGCTTATTCTTTGGACTGCAGACTTAAATGGTTTGTTCAAAATGACGGTCAATAGATTTACAGAGCAGTTCCAGACTTTTACTTAGGTCGATGTCGATAGTAATATCGAAACATTAAAGAGCAAATAAAAGGACAAACCTGCCCCTTAATCTTGTACTTACCGAAAAGCGAGAGCTTCGTAAAGTGTGAGCTGTCGACCTCTGTACTGCGCGGTTCAACCTGATCCACTGGTTTTCAGTCGAAGCTAACGAAAGCGTTAGAGTGTAGCGGGAAAAAAAAGCGAAAGCGTGGTAAGAGTAGTAGTCACAATTTCAACCTGTAGCCGACTTATTTGGGGGATATCAAATTAAAGCGAAAGTTACTGGAGGACACGAGACAGCATATGACAACAATCCAATATACTGTGTTAAAAAAATACTGTGTTATGTGTAATGCATTTGTTGTATATACTTTTCTCATATTTAAACACGTGATGTCAGTCTTATGTTATGATTTGTTATGTCCATTTTAGTTGTTTAGTTCAACATTCTTTCTCAAGTAGAAAAGTCTTAATTTACATTGTAACATTAATTTATTTACTCGGTCCCACTTTATATTAGGTGGCCTTAACTACTATGTACTTGCATCAAAAAATTGTATTGCAAAACACATTTGCTGCTATTGAGGTGGGATATGGTTAGGTTAGGGACAGGTTTGGTGGTATGGGTAGGTTTAAGGGTGGGTTAAGGTGTAATTATAAATGTAATTACAGAAATTAATTACAGATGTACAGTAATTACATGCAGATATTTTTTAAAATATAAGTACAATGTAAAAACATGCATGTACACAAAAAGTGCATTGTATCAAATGATTAATTTAAATGTAAGTGCATAGTAGTTAAGGCCACCTAATATAAAGTGGGACCATTTACTCTAGCACAGTAGATATCAGTAAAGCAATGCCGCAATAAACTAAAGAAAGGATTCATGCGTGGGTAAATCTAGAGGAAAATCTGCTTTAAAAAGTATTACACATTCGAACACAGCCAGAATGTGTGTGCGTTGAGTTCATCGTCTTAACACGGTTAAACTCGACCCCTTTAACAAAAATAACGTTTTAATAAATGAACTATGATTTATAAACCTGAAAAGCCCCCACAATGTAAAAAAATATTAAGTTTTACTGTCTTTGTGGGGACATTTGGTCCTCACAATGAAACAAGTACACACACGCATAGATGTACACAGTCTCTGTGTTCCAAATGACCTAAATAATGCCCCTTAGTCAGGGGTGTGGGATATTGACAAAAATTATATCTCAATATTTTTTAGGTATTTTTGTTGATAATGGTAATTCAATATTTTGCTGAATGTGTTTTTGTGCTGGTACCTTGGCTGGTTTAGGCTTGTCAAAGATAAATCAGTAAAACCACCTGTAGGTGGCAACAAATTCCTGTTTTAATAAATCACTGATTAAATCATTCAAATGATTTGTTAACTATAAATGGTTCAATTAGAAATTAAGCAAATGGTGTCTTTATGAATGGATCATTGAATAATTGGCTCACTTGATTCATTCAGAAACTGATTAATTCAGGAACCAAACACCACAGTGTTGCTCTGAGATGCACAACAGCTCTGCTGTGGATTTGTTTGCAACTATTTCATTTGCGAAACTGAAAAATAACAGACAATATTGTGTCTAAAATGTAACTCACACAATTAACTTCTTGAATGTTGAACTGTTGAATAAAATTAATATCACACATTAATATGACACTCATGCTGATATTAACTATATCATATCTTATGAATATAAAAATTAAATCTCATTCAGGGATATTTTTGGTCTCGTAACTTCCATCCCCCTCAGTTTGGGCCCTGGCTCTAAATGAAGCCAAAATGAGTAGATTTGGAAGAAAACAAAAAAGATGAAATATGAAAATGAATATAGCTGACATATATTAATATTTAATCTAGCCCTCATTGGGTTCTTTGAGTTGTTGACAGGTGCATATTTGCTCCAATCTCACCCTCTGGAGCTCTGGGGCCGGTTGCACCACCTAGACGTAAAAACGCTGGGTGTAAGCCCTACGCTGGGCTTTGCAACGTCCTGCTTTACGATAAGTAGCGGCTGTACCAGAGCACGCTCACAAAATGGCGGCGACAGCGGAG